GCACCGGAAAAAGCCCCGCCCCTGCCCCCCCCTCCCCCCTCCGTCCCTCGCCGCGGGGCCGCCACCCTCGTTCGTCGGCGTGCCTGCACACAGTCGTCAGGAGACCCCCCTCCTCCCCCGGCCTTTTGGGGAGGGGGGGGTCTGTCCTGCGCCCTGTTCTTCCTCACACCCACCCGCAAATGCTCCCCCCCAGCAGGCACACAACACAGGGAGGCCGCCCACGAGCCGGGGGTGAGAGTGCCGCTATGGAAGAAAAAAGATAGTATTTAGTAGTTTACAGGGGGGAGGAGGGAGGGTCGCGCACGCACAGAAAGGCACTGGCTGTGAAGAGAGGAGGAGGAGGTAGGGGGGAGAGGGAGGGAAGAAAGAGGAGGGAGACAAGGACAATGGACACCTCCACCGGCCGGCTGGGAGGAGAGGAGAGGGGAGGGAGAGAGGATGGCTCGGTGTGAATGTGAAGGAAGATCCCCGACCAGGGGGAGGCATGCACGCTGCAGGGAGGGGAGGAGGAGACAGAGGAGAGGGGGAGTGCATGACCGGGAAGGGGAACGGGACAGAGGGGGGAGGGGGGGGGGGAGAGACAGCAGCAGGCAAGGGGACACACGAGTCCAGGGGGTGGGGAGAGGAGGGCGCAGGTGGCGGTTGGCGGCGTATGCGCCGCAAAAGGGGAGAAGGGAGACGCAGCAAGCCCAGCCCACCGACGCCGGGCACATCACACATGCAACGCAGGAGTGATGGACGAGGGACGGGGGGGCGGGGAGGGGGGGACGCGATGAAGCACAGCGCCAGCGCGCGGTCTACTGTCAACCGCGTGTGCTCGCGATGAGCGTGTGCAAGCACCACAGCAAGGAGAAGAGAGGACGGCGGAGTCGCGCCGAGGGGGGGGGGAGATAGATGTGAGGGCACATGCTGTGTCCACACTCTGCGCCTCCTGGATCGAGAGGGGGGAATCCCCTTGCCGTCTCGAGGCATCCGGCGATGCCCACACACACCCAGACACACGCGCACATGCACCGACCGACAACACAGCACGCAGGGGAGGGGGGGTGGGCGGGGGGAGGAGAAAGAGACAGGGAAGGAGAGGGGGGGGAGGCCGGCCGAGGAACTTCGCTTAGGCATAGTTCTCGCGGATGTGCTTCTCGACGAAGAGCGACGCGCGGAGGTGACGAGCCGAGGCATACTTCTTGTAGGCGGCCTTGTTGCGGTCGGCGTTGGCCGGGTTGCCGGGGGCGGTGAGGAGGGTGGTCGAGCGGAGGACCCCGACCAGGGCGTTGACACAGGCGCGAAGCGACGCCTCATCATAGCGCGAGTAGTAGGTCAGGGCCGCGTCCCAGTGGGGAGTGCGGTTGAGCATGCGCCGGGAGAGGAGGGCCGAGGCGGCGGCCTGGACCGAGGGCGAGAAGGGCATCATCTGCTCGGCCATGAGGGCCACCTCCAGGAGGTACTTGCCGACGGTGCGGGTCTGAATGTCATAGTTCTCGGTCTTGCTGATGCGACGGAGGAAGGTCATGGGGGAGGGGAAGCCGAACTTGAAGTGCAGCGCGCGCAGGATGTTGCGCTCCATCTGGATGATGTCGCCGGCCTCGTAGAAGTTGTCGGCCACCTGGGCCCACTCCTCCACCAGGGGAACGGAGATCTCCTCGAACTTGGTGGCCAGCAGGAGGGAAGTCAGGCCGACCAGCTGGAACTGGTGCCGGGGAACCGGCATCTCGGCCACCGACATGTACCGGTCCATGATGTTGACCGCCAGGAAGAGGGTCTCCTGGACCAGCTTGTAACGCCAGTGGACCTCGACCAGCCAGTTGACCAGGGTCGCCCGGTGGGACCAGTTGATCTCCGGGTGCTTGGCCATGTAGGAAATGTCCGGCTGGAACTCCGCCTCCACGCTGTGCATGTAAACCATGATCTCCCAGACATAATCCGGGGCCGACTGGGGGTCATGCGCGTCCGAGGCGTCGATGTCGATGACACCCTCCGGCCGGGGGGGAACAATGATGCCATTGGAGAAGGGCGGCTCCGCGGGGCCGGCGGCACCGGGGGTGGGAGTCTCCCCCTCGCCGAAGAGGGCCTCGTCCATCATGTGGTGGTGCGAATCGCCGTCCACCAGCATCATGGTCGCGTCGCCGGCGTCCTCGGTCTTGGCCGGCTTCACCAGACCGGAGGAGGTGCGCTTGGCGCGGGTCGACTCGGGGATGTTCTGCAGGGGGAGCCGGCGAGAGGGCGAAGGATTGGGGGGGGGGCAAGGGTGAGGATGAGGGCGAGAAAGAGAGAGAGAGAGTGTGTGTGTGCGCGCGCGCGCGCGGGCCGCCAGGAAGAGCATCGTGAGAGGAAGGACGGGTCAAAGACCCCGCCAGCAGAGGGAGAGAGAGAGAGAGAGGGCGGGCGGGAGAGCGTACCTTGTTGCCGGAGAGAATGGAGAGGGCAGAGCGACGCCCGGCGGCCGCGGAGGCGGGGGCAACCGCGGCGGGGGCCTGCTTGCCAGCGGCGGCCATGGCCGCGTCGACGCTGGGGTTCTCGTCGCCGGTAGCCTGCATCGCGCGCACAGGGGAGAGGCGGAGAGGGGCAGGGAGGAGGTGAGCGGGGAGGGGGACAGAGAAAGAGGGAGAAGGCACAAGAAGAGCCGAGCAGGCGGCTGAGGGAGGAAGCGACGAAGAGGATGGCGGCGTACAAGGCGGTGGAGCATGGTGGCAAAAGCTAAAAAGGGGGAGGCTGGGAGGTTATGGCCTAATGTGGCCGGGAGGAGGGGGGCAGAGGGGGAGAGGAGGTCAGTCATCTGTGCGTAATGGGGGTGGAGGAGGCTTCCGGGCGAGAAGAACGGCAAAGAGGGCGGGAGAAACAATGAAGACACCACTGTGGGAGGGTATATGTACAGGAAAGAGCCGGGAAGGGACGGAGGGAGCAGCGGCGAAGGCAGCAGCAGTAGTGGCGGCGGGGAGGAGGAGGAAGGGTAGAGGACACAAGAAGGTGTTCCAACGCGCCTGGCTCGACGAGCGAAGCCGTTGCTTTTGACCCCCCCCCCC